TATATATATATATATATATATATATATATATATATATATATATATATATATATATATATATATATCAACACATAACAACAGCGAATATGTTAATTGGGGATGACTCATTCTAACATGTGGTGTTACATTTAAATGCAGCACAAAACAGAGAAACAATCTTAAGCGATAAAACTCCAAAGAGAGAACTTCCACTGGGATGCAATATAACACAGCCTTGGGAGATAGTCTTATCATCATTGTCTCTTATTTGTTCCAATTGCTATTTGCCAGGGAGAGGCGTTAACTGGAGTCATAGACTGAATCATAAGATTTAATTTGTATTTCATCTAAAAATGGAATAAAAATAAAAACAACAGAATCAACACATCAACTTCTATTCATGTACACTAAAGGTTGGGATACGACCAAGCTTAAAGCAATAACCATATGCAACCCAGTCTCATGGGAAAATGTACCCCCACTACGTTGGTCCACACTGCAAAACGTATGACTCTGTTTCAAATCAATCTTATACTTAAACTGTCAAGGAAAATAATGAAGAAAGGATCATCCATTTTTTGCAAAACCAAAAAGTCATAGGTTTCTTTTTTGGACATTTTAAAAATGATCTGCATCATGAGGGTGTTGTGATTCATGGGCGTTTGAGTTTTCATGTTTATATTTCTGGGGTAACTAAAGTTCTTTGCTTTGTTTGTAGTTTCTTAATATTTTCTTGTTTTTTTGTCTTCTTCACAGTGTACATTTTTTATTTTTTATTTTGTGTTTATTATCCCTATCCCTTTTGGGTAATTGGTTTTTCATAACTTTGTAGAAAAGTCAGTTTTTAAAAGCCTTCAAATTAGGAGAAGCAGTGGAGTTGAGCTTAGATCCAATTGCTTACCCTAAATGTTTAGAAATATCCTGCATCTGCACCATCTGTAGGAATACTTTAAGAATAAAGGCTGTGATATATAATTCATACCAGCAGATGGAAGTAGTATGGTAGCAGTAACCATGTTATAAATCCAAATAAGTTCCTGAACATGGCTAAATCAGGATGTTAAGTTTTGGCGGTTTTCCTCTTAGTTTATACATTTACCAACTCAGATACAATGTTTAATGAGAAGGAATAACACAGAAATGGGACCAATTAAGCTAAATGAGGGGAAAAGTTTTAAAATGCGTAGACATGCTTAGCGTTGCATCCTTCTGTTCTTGTTTTTTGGTATTATCTTTAAAAACCCAGCATGTTGGTCTAAACACCACAAATTGAGTTGAAAAATCCCCTTTTTAGTAATCTTTCACAGCAATATTCATTATGTAACCTCAACGTGCTCTATGTAGACAAAAAAAAAAAAACTGGAGAAAACACCACTGAGGATCATCTAACATCAGATGGGCAGCTGTGTACAAATATTCAAAGAGACTTGGTTGGATAACAACATTGTCAATGCTCTTATGGATTATTAGTATTATCAGTGCTCTTCTATATTCACTTTTGCACTGATGTTGTGTTACCAAAAAACACAATCAGGGTTGTGTTTTTTTGGTTTCACAAACCATGAGGAGTACGTCTACAACAAAAACCAAAGCAGTATGTGGAAAGGCATCAGGAGCATCACAGATTATAACCACAATGACCAGCAGATCAGCCAAAAAAAAAAAAAACCTCTTTGCACAATTTGACTTTAGAAGCAGCAGAAGAACCAGCTTCAGCATCAGCCTTTTGTCCTCCATCTGCACTATGAAAAAGATGGCAGCAGGTCCAGACATGGTATCAGGTTGGGCACTAAAATCATAAGCTGACCAACTTCCCACTATTTTCCTTGACATCTTTAACCTCTCCCTTCAGCTTCCAGAATCCCTACCTGTCTGATGTCCACCATCATGGTGCCTGTGCCCCCAAAAACGCAACCATCACCTCCCTTAATGATTACTGTCCTGTTGCACTGACACCAGTCATCAAGTGCTTTGACGGGATTGCTACAGATCCTACCCAACCAAGATGAACTGTCACACTTTCTTCAGAAAAACGATTCTAGATCAGCACGTTAAAAACAAACTCAGAAATACTTTCCCCACAAAATCTGCAAAGGCAACCCTCCCCTGTAGGCAAACACTAAACTCTCCTGCTGAAGATCAATTAAACCTACAGCCTGTTTTAATAGACTGTTTTAGAACAAGGAGCACTTTATGTGTATATTAAATTCTTCATGCCACATTCCAATAAGTTTTTATGCTTCAAAAAATTTTTTGTCTCATTTTAGAATGCTCGTTGTTTGATTTTCTATAAGCATTTTTTATTCATGTTATCACATGTGCATCTTGAGTGAAATTTTATGACGTTGACCTAATAACTCTTGACTGTTAACGGTCAAAAAAGTTTTTGTTTTCTTTAAAAAGTAACAAATAATTTTCAAATTCCTTCAGAGGCAACACATCCTATATCTTTGCCCTTCTTATAGTGTTGGAATTGGTGCTCCTCAGTGGTGTCGTTGTTTGCAATGTCGCCCTGCAGCAAGACAGTCCTTTGGTTTAAACTTCGGGCTTAAGACAATGCATGCTAGTTTATTGGTCTCTCTAAATTCCCCTTAAGAGTATTGTGTTGTTCTGTGTGTCTCTCTGTGTTCCAACCTGTCCAGGAAGTACTCATCCAGTGACTGCTGGATCAACCTTCATTGATAAGCAGCCATAGACGATACTCATCTATTTCAGCTAATACTTTTCCAACCAATTTATTTATCCTCTGTCCCTTGTGATCAACTCCCACACATCAGTTTTTTTTTTTTTTTTTTTTTTGACTACTAGTACTTTCTCTGTCTTTTTTTATTTCTATTAATATCAGCTGTTTTCTGTTTACAAGGAAATCAGCCTTTTTTGGACTTGTTGTGTGGGTGCTTTTCCAAATACAACTTGGAATTGTTTCCCTTAAATAAAATGTTATCTTTTAAAGGGTATTTAAATTCATGTGACATATGCAATGGGAATGCAATAATGCTATATTTTATCTGCTATGTTCTGTCCTTGCAGTTGATTTCAGCTGGCCTTTTGGGTGACTACACCCAAGTCTATTTGTAAAGAATCGATATCTAGGGAAAAAAGAGGAAATATGACATTCATTACTTGCAAAGACACAGATTGGATGAAAAATGTTTTTCTTTTTTGTTTTGTTTTTTGTCATAACAAATCTATCGGTGCAACTAGAAGATAGAGCCTAGATCCTTGGCAGTGATAACAGAAGAGTGAACTGTTGAAATATCTGAGACAGAAATAGGAAAACTGCGTAGCAATCCCTGCAGATTAATGCCCCTGCCAAAAACAGAAGAAATTGTGGATTTAGGCCAATAAAAAGGCCAACTGGGCTCAAGTAAATCCTGAACGCAGTAAAGTTTTTGTAGTTCCCAGTTCATGCCTCAAAATACAGAATTTTCTGGGGAAACATATTAAAAGGTTTCCCCTCGTAACAACCGAGAACACCATTCTAGTTATTAACGGACTCATGTGATTTGAGATTTTTACCACCAGATGCCAAATGACAAATAACACAGTAAAAGGCTAACCAATCATTATCAAAAACAGTAATTTATCAAATGTTCAATAAATTCTTCTTTTTTTCTATGAGAGTATTTGTAAACAGAAAGCTGGATTGATGGAAAACAAAACATGGATAATGGATGAATATTGAATAGGAATCCTTGTAATATTTAGATCATTTAAATAAAAATAAAAGGAAGCAATGATAAAGCAAACGTTTTTGGCATTATTTCTCTTTCTACTCATTAATAGGCTTTTAACTTGTTAACACTGAGATAGGTGACATGCCAGCTGCTAGCTTTAAAGGCTTCCACTGCTAAAATGCAATTCTTGCTCCCTGTTTATACAAAATAGTTTGTAAATAATTAGAGCACAACCCTTGTGAGACAAAATTAATTTTATTAAAAAAAGAGAGAAAACTAAGAGCTGACAAGACTAGAATTGGCTTTATCTGAAAGGTTTCCTCGACACATTAGACTTGAAAACAATTTTACCACTACACGGTGTTGCTTTTAACGTATAATGCTACACTAATGACATATAACAGGGTGACAACAAATATGGTCATCATAAAGAGTCTGATCGCTTTGAATTTATCTGGTAAACCAAGCCAAAAAAAGACAAAAGAATTGTATTTATTCATTTGGTAAAAAAGTTGAACTCCTTTATCGAATTACACCCAAAGTAAATCTCTGGTTGAGGAGTAGTTTAACATGAGGAACATGTGAGCTGAATCAATTTTATGAAATATCCCTCTTCCTTATGAATTCTTTTCTGAAACACTTTTTCCTTTCACTCAATTTTCCATCTACCTACTTGGAAACAGATCCTTAGCAGTGATCTTCGGCGCCCTATGAAAGGTGTCTTCTCGACAACGTCTCGTTGATGATAGTGAAGTCCAAACATAGTCATAACATGGCATCTTAATATAATTTCTTTTAATGTCTGTACTTGATATAAATCACTACTTTTTGATCAATTAGTAAATCAAACGCTTTTCACTTTTAGCTCTGAATTAATAAAACAAAAAACAAGGATATTCTTTATTCAGATGATTGTACACACTTGTATTACCATCTAACTTAACTTCCCAATAATTGTTTTTCAGCTCCTTTGTGAATTTTGAAGTTAAACCTGTTTGCTGTTTATTACAAGAAAATATGAGACACCAGCCTGCAATAGGACAAAACATTTTCCAGTGTTTGGAATTGATGTGTAGACAAATAGCTGAAATGATGATTTAAAAATATATATATATATTATGACCAGCAGAAAACTACAAAGGACAGAAACACTGAAGAGCCTTCAGTCCGGTAGCCTTTATTTTAATCATATTATATTATAATGGATGCAAATACAGCAATAGCCTTTTGCAATAAAACTCTGCTTTTTAAGTGATTTTTTTGATAGGTGAGATGGTTTCAGCTAAGCTTTTCCTCTAGCTGGGGATTGTTTTACAAATGTGTATATTAGGCTGTAAGATCAGGTTTGACCAATGACTTTTATACTTTTCAGGAATTGTAGGAGATTCTCCAGAAAATACGCCTAGATAAATAATATAATTTCTAATAAAAATGTGATATTCTTCTCTTAAAGTGGGATTTTGGCCTTATGTAGAGATGAACAATCCTGAGTAAAATCTAACCTAAAGGTTGAAAGGCTGGCAGCACAACCACAGATACCAAAATGCTGGTGTTTGCAGTGATCTTTGTACTCAAATTCCTGGGAAAGGTCAGTATTACATGGCTGCAGGGCAGTGAGGGTGTCTTTGTTGTATTTATTTGCAGGCCACCATCTTTGTTTAACGCTAATGTCTAGCCCGGCCCAGTTTAGGAAAGACTAGAGCAGACTCATGTCATTTGATGCGTATTGACTGCTGCAGGAAGCGTCTTTTTTCACATGTACAGGTCAGCTGTAAAGAAGCACCTCTAGTAGTACAGTAGGCCTGTAGAGTCAGTAAGAGCCAACCTTTTGCTGTGCAGGTTCCCACACTACTTCTCTGCATTCAAAAACTGGTCTTAAAAGCCAAAATCATCTGATGCACACTTAGAGAGCTTATGAACAATTTAAAGAACAGGACAGACTTGGATGTGACAGTTTTAGAATCGAGTTTCAGAGCTTCCTTTCTTCATCGTACTACTGTGAAACTCATCATGTTCGAAGCTCAGAGTATTATGTGACCTGGATATCATTAGCAGCTTCTCTCGCTTGCTGTAGTCGCGCCTGTCTGTCGGTGACGCCAAAGTGTCCGAGCGTCGCTCCCCCAGCTGCTCGCTGTCCTCCAGGCGGGTGTATCCCTTGCTGCTGCCTCTGTTCCCGCAGTGACTGCGTGTGCTGTTGCTGCGGTCGAGCCGCGGCCAGCTGGGATGCTTCCTCTGCTCCGGTCGCACGCTAAGCACGCTCGGCCTGCGCTCTAGGTCCAGGGATTTGGAGTGGCTGTTAAGCATTTGAAGAGAAGAGTTGGAGCCAAAGTCACTCTTTGCTGCTCCTGGTGAGAGCCAGCAGCCTGAGGTAGATGAGGGAGCAGGGGAGAGGGTGCCGGAGGAGAAGGAGGAGGACGAGGATGCAGAGTTACTGCGCTGTAAGCCTGGTGGCTTGGAGGCCTTGGCAACAGATGCTACTGGCACTACTAGAGACTCCATGGAGCTCAGCGGCACCGGCCTCTCTGCTCGTCTCTGCTCACCTCCTCTGTCCTCTTCGGTAATTGCCTCCATTTCTGGTTCATCAATTACACAGTTGTTAAGTTTGATAACAGGTAGAGTAAAGGCAGAGATGGAGGAGGAGACAATAGATCCTGTGTGGTGTCCTCCCTTCTCCCCATCTCCATCAACTGACCATTGATGTCGCATGGAATCTGAACGCTCCAACCCAAGCCCAGCGCCGTAAAAAGGCCGATCCTTATACAACGGAGCTAAAAGTCCCGCAAAGCTACAATCCATCCTGGCCTGCTCTTTGTGCTGGTGGAACTCCTCACCCCCAAGAAGCCCCTCCTCTTCCTCTGTAGACCCAATTCTGCTTCCAGCCCGAGACGAGAAACCTAGGAGGGAGTTGCTGGCCAGGTGCGGTGCTGTGTCCCCCCCGAAGCCTCGAAGATCAGCCACTTCTCGTGCACAGAAGCTGCTGCGGTGTTTCTGCTCCCTCTGCCTGAGGCGATGGATGTCGATGACTGTTGAGTACATGTCTCTCATATGGATTATCTAGTGTGGAGGAGAGTTAGGTTAGTTGGGATTTCCTGCAAGGAAATTTCAAGATTTGATATGGGTCTAAAGAAGTCAGATCTGGGTGTCAGTGGGTTATGAATATAAAATACTTCATAGAGAGAAAAAAAGTATGAAAAAATGAAAATGGGAATAGTTTAAATTATTACTTCACAACAAACAATACAAACAAAAATCCAGGTGCAAGAATTCATGAAATGATTTGATTTAAATATGCATTTGATGCAAAATTCAACTGGATTAAAGCTCTACCTTGGTCTCCCTGTCTCTGTTTTCATGAAGTATTGCATTAGCACAGATGAAGATAAAGATTCCTATTCCCATAGTGAAGGGTCCAAGCATCTTCATCCTCTCAGAGTGAAGGTGCTGTTCCAGAAACCGTGTCAGAGCACCGCCCATCTGCTTTGAAGAGTCTAAAACCAGAGCAAAGAGAAGAATAACAAGAGAGCAGGACGACTTTGAACAGCTTTATAAACTAAACCAGAACTATTATTACCTTGAACCACTTGGCTTGCATTAGTTACATCTTTCTCCACCTTTAATTCATTTCCTCCACCTGTTGGTATGGCTTTATTGTGTGGCCAGTAACCTAGAGTCGCCATGCCAATGCCTATTGCCAAGATGATTAGTCCCAGGAAGAGAAAAAAGCCTGAAGCCGAGTAGAGCCGAAGCCTTCCTCGAACCACCACCACATCTGTGCGTCTCTTTCTCTTCCTAAGAAAAACAATTGTTGGAAGAGGGAAAAAAAATTATATCATTTCAGTTCCATGCAGAACATCCTGTCTTATAGTCTTTTAATGGTTGTAGAAAGCAGTTATTTATAGACTGCAAGTACTTTGAAGACTCTTCTAGGACTGTGTGCTTTTTAAATCAATCCAGTAGTTTGTCATTTCTACTCTGGTGCCAGAATAACTTTAAGCTAATTTCTTTAAGCTTATGCAGAATGATGTCAAATAGTGTTGCACCAATAGCGATACCAGTATCAGGCGAGGCCCCGATCCAGCACTAAAATGGTGGTATTGGTGAGTACCAACAAATAGGGCACAGATACCATTTTGAGAGCCAAAAGTTTATACTGGATTCACATTGTATTACTCTTTTTCCCGTTTCACAAAGGTAGGCAGCATCTTCACAAAGCCATTTTGGCAATTATTTTACGTCCAAGTAGTATGAAGTTCTTCATATATATATATATATATATATATATATATATATTGTTTGAATGAAATTATAATCAGGTTACCTTTATGCCATTCAAACAATAGCCTTTATGTATTTAAAATAAATATACTGATTGGTATCAATGTTGAGCAAGTATAATGTATTAATACTAAACAAATAAATAAGCTCTATTAAAAGGATGTTTATCATTTAGTAAGTTTATGTCTATCACATTTAAAAAACAGTAAATAGAAGTTTGTTAAATAATCAAATTACATGAGTAATAAAATTTGGGTGTAGCATTTTTGTGAGTGCATAGTCGCTAACAAAGGAAAATAAAATATTGATCAAGATGATTATTTTAAGGTAATCTTTCTCATTTGATGATAAAGCTGATAAACTGAAAATGTAGTTATAAAATTGTCACCCTGAAAATAACTGAAAATAAAGATGTCAAGAAAACAGTCACTAAATGTATTCCTTTTATTGAACAAAAACAGTGTTGCTATAGGTTTATATTGTGTTTTCCAATTGTGAAGAACCATCACCTGGGGGCGCTCTCAGGGGTGGGGTTTGCCAAGCCTTGGAAAGCAGGTGGTATGGGGCGATGCTGAGAGCGGGCGGAGTCCTGGCGCTTCAGCTTGGCCAAGCCTGTCAGAACACCTGCAGCTGCAGTCATCCTTTTACCTGCAGACACACATCAGGAGGTTGTTATTTCCTTCAATTTACCTGACATATTGCAGTCATCCAACATGACATTTAATAAATATAGTGGAAAATTCCTTTTCTGTTCAAATGACAGTTATAAAATCATGTAATCCTAATAGTTGAAGCTATCTAATACCATGGCTTAAAAATCAACACACCAGGAAAAGCAAAGAAACAAGTGAACTCATTAACCTTGAACTGTGATACCAATGTTATTTAATGCTTAGTGTAAATTCAGCTAAAATCTGTTACATTGTATAGCAAGATAAGAGGATATTTACAATATCTCAAACCAATGAGTTCATTCAGCAAAACACAGCCTGGTGGATTCATGCTCCTTTAATCTGTTCCAGATTATCAGCAGAATAAGACAGTTTGCTTCAAATTATCTGCTCAATCAAAAGCTATAAATCAACCAACTAAAAACTATTAGAGGAGAGAGACATTTCTGCAGAACAATGATAACAGCAAATTATTCCAGAGATAACCGCTGAGTTCATACCTTTAGATGACCGGCATGGTGCATTTATATACTATCTACACCTCTTTAAGCAGTAAGGTAAGATTGCTTCTTTATCTACATTTAGAATTCATTCAAGCTGCAAAAGTTATTTGAGCAAAACTGCTTTTGTGTGCTGAATATAAAGTCCCCTATATCTGAATATTTTGCTGCAGGGCAACATGAGAACGTCAGACTGCATTTCATTCATCACAAAAAGCTCGGGAAGGTTTTAATTTGTTTAAAAATGCACAGAGAACAAAGAGATTTTATCAAGAGAACCTCACTGCAAAAACAATCTAGTATTAGTATTTTTTTTTATTAGTATTTTCTTAAGATAAGTGTATTTCCCTTCATTTCAGTAGTTAAATTAGATTATCTGCCAATAGAATGAGTATTTTTTACCATTAAGATGTGATAATTAGATGTTATTCACTTGAAATACGAAACTGCAGGTTTTTTATTTTTTATTTTAAAATTAGATGGTCTTATTCCGCTGGCACTCTGTCTCCCTTATTCATTTGATTAAAAAAGAATACGCTTATTTTAAGAACAGACTTACTAAGGTTTCACTTTTTGCAGTGCTTGAAGTACTTTAACAAAGCAGAAATGTTTACATATGATGATGCTGCAAATTCCAAATCTTTCATCCAATAAGCAACTAGGAAAATTTATTGATGAAAAAAAAATTTAATGTACATGTATAGGTTTTATAACATCTTTAGCAACCCTTTTGTCTATCATTAATTATGACGACATAGTGCTCACGCATGCAGCTACCTCTGCTTTAAAGAGCCTTTCAAAAAGTTAAAACAATTATGGACAACATTATTGCTATGATTTTATTTATAAAGTTCTGCCTGGCCACTGCAACATTCATTCTGTCAGCTTGAGAAGCCATTATGTAGTTATTAAACTCTTTCTAGACAAATTAAGTTAGGAAAAAAGAACCATCTTTATTTTTGTGGTTGTAAATGCCTTTGCAGAACACTAGCAATACTGCAGAGTGAACTAAAGCCTGCCTTCATTACATCCATAAAATATGTTATTCTTTGCAGGCATGAGTCTCTTGAAAGATAGAAAGTTAAATACAGCACACTCACATCATTTTCTGTGGCGATACTATGAATATTAACAGAAACGTAGTTGCAACTGGAGGCTCCCAGTGTGTTTCACCGTGAACAAATGTCAGCTGACTGTGCAGAGGGACTGCTCATCCAGCTAAGCCTCACACTGACTAAATGCAGCACTGATCTGAAAAATGTCAGTGTACCATCAAACACCACTTTGAGAGCCAGCGGGGACACAAAAACTTAAAGAATTAAGCAGAGAGATTCCATTTGACATAGCCTTGGAAACACAAGACAGTAAATAATTCTGTAATTTGGTCACTGTAGAAACCAAAAATAAAGATCTATAAATAAATTTCTAAATTTGCAAAAATAAAACAGGTTACCAGCTGATTTAATGAGCGCATATCCAGGGATGCGAATCTGCATTTCAAGAAAGTGTGGAGGATGTTCTACAGACATAAGGACATTTGAGATTCAGAGTATAGCCTTTCACACAATCATGCACACGTCCAAGGATCATAGTTGTGCTAGTCTAATTGAAACCCTAAGTATAGCAAAGCCCATTTAGACCCTCAGAATACATTTTAAAGGGAAAATACATTGTGTTAAAATCTACAGAATACAGAACACTATTATAAAAATGCAACGTTGTTGACATGCATTACTACTTTGGAGGAGTTTACATTCCTGAGTATAAATCGAATTAAACATCATTGTAATTTTTTTCTGTTTTTTGTTTTACCAGTCACCCTGTTGTCTTTATTACATCTGAGCTGTAGTTGTTTTTCCACCTATTTAATGAAGTTATGTAAATGTTATAACACTCAAACGAATCCTCAGCTCTGCTCTCCAGCTGCTCTGATGTCTATTAATAAGTATCAAAGGAAAGAGGCCTGAGAACAAACAGCAGCTTATTTTAAGAGCCTTCATTTCAGCTTAAATGCTTTATAATCTGGTTTTACGTGGCCATTATCATTGTCCTGATGAGGACTAGGAGGATTAAATTGAGGTAATTCTTTGAAACCTGGCTATGTCAGGGTTCTGCCCTCTGATTAAGTTTATTTGTATTTTCTTTTGCAGTCTTTATATTTGCAGTCGTTTTCTGTCTGTGTTTAGTTCTTGAGTTACTCTTTATTGCCCCCTTCTGCTTGTTTCCTTTCCCTTAGGCTTCCTTCTAGTTAGTTCCACTCACACCTGCTCCATATTCCTCTTATTAGCCCATCCTCTGTTCAGTTCCCCTTATATACACCACCTCTGCAGTCCCTCAGTGCTGGTTTGTTGTGCTGTTGCTTCCTCATCTCATGCTCCCCACGTGAGTTTTTTCTGACGTTTTCTGTTTTTTTGATTATTTGTATTTTGGAAATTTTACTCAGTTGCCTTATTAAATCTACAAGACTCACCCCTGCCTCCTGATCTCTGCATTTGCGTGGTTGAAAACCTCCACTCAATTATGACAGGCTACTGCATTTCACCAGAAACACAAAGAATTTATCTTACATATCTAATATAACTTTTAGATCAAGTCGCTGTTTTTTTCCAACAGCCAATCCTGAACAGAAGCTGCCAAATGCTATCATGGCAACCCTGAGCGTCCTCTGTTGAACAACAAGTGTCTTCATTAAAAGGCTTTTCCTGATCCACTGCAAGACAAACTGCTACAAGAGATCCTTCTCCTTTGGGATCCATAAAGTATTTTTAGAGTTACCAAGACCAGTTAACTTAATGTGGATTTCTTGGCTTGGTACTGAGAGCAGGTGTCATGCAGTTGGGAAACTGTTGGAACATAAACTCCTGGATAAGGCACTGAACCCATGTTTATATTGGTTCCAGAGTGTACGGGCTTGAATTTGACTCTGTAGTACAAATTTAGCCCATTTATCATTTTCATCCTTTCTTAAAAGACACAAATATGTGTGAATTTAGGTTTCATCTTCATCAATACAAAAAATAACACAACTGACAATTTTAGACAGAATGTCTTGTCCTAAACTGACGTGTGTTGACCAGAAAGCACAAATTCAGTTAAGCTCGTCATAATCAGAGAGAGAGGAACCAAAGCTGTCAGTCTGTTCTGAGGCAAACGCTGGAAGATGGTAGAACAGCACTCTTCCTTTTACATTTTAAACAGATTAGACTTCTATCTTCCTGTTTAATTTTAATGAAGAGTGCAGGAAAACATACGTAGAGCAACTAGAGCAGCTATGCCCAGTTACAGTATACCCTTCGAAGGCCAACATACAGAAATTGAAAACAAAAAATATATCTTTAATATTTGAGGATACTACGATCTTAGTTTTATAAATACAACTTTAAAGTATAACTTTATTATTTATTTTTTTTATTTGTGCTTTTAAACATTAACTTGTTGAAGCAATCTTCAAATATTGCAGATACTTCACAGGCAGAGACATTCCTCGATACAATGCCTTTATTCTTTGCACTCATGCTGTTTAATAGTTTCTTGTTTTGTAGGTGAAAATTTTTGCGGGTGACGAATGATGTCCTGTTAATGGTGGAAGACTGATAAGTAAAAATGGGGATAATGAGCAACACTGCCGTCAGTTTTTGAAGTGCAGTTATGTTATTGTTGCAGCTCTCTTTTTTTTTTTTGGTCACATATCAATGTTTTTTTCAATGTATTTATAACATTAGACAAAAAAAATAATTATTTTTATAATTATTTCATTTCTTGAGGGAAACTAAACCATGCCTTTTCTGAGAGACCTGGATATCATCAGACCTGTAGAATAGAATAGAATAGAATAGAATTCAATTTTATAGTCATTACACCGTCACAAATACAGAGTAACAACCTGTAGTTTGCATCTATCCAGAAGTACTATACAGGATATAAATATTTATTTATATGTGCACAGAGACTATGTATTGACATATTTGTAATATAAATGGTATATATAAACAGAGAGTAATTGTAAGAGGCTTTAAAATAATTAAATATGAAAACTATATACAGGTTATACTGAATAACAAATATACTTAAAAAATTTATTAAAGTTAAAGAAAACCAAGCATGAATTATAAATTGACCAGGTGGTTAGGATAAGGGCTGCAGAAAGAATCTATCATTTATCATTTTTACAGCTTGATTTTACATGAAAAAGTGGCCAGTTTGCATTGGTTTATATGTAATTATTTAATACAGTTCATTCAGGCTCCTCTTGTTTACATTTGTTTGATGAGATGTCTTACAAACTAAAGAAGATGTCAGGTGGTAAAGTCACTGAAAAACAACAATACAGTTTTATTGCAGAGACAGAAGGCTCTGTACTGGAGTAATTAAATATTTAAAATCTGATCAAATGTCAAGTTTTGTTTTTTCCCTCAGCAGCTATAAGAAGTCGCTATTTCCATCAAAGTTTAAAGCATTATGGCAATAATTACCTACA